CACACACACACACACACACACACACACACACACACACACACACACAACACACACACATCAAGGAATAGGAAACGCAATTTTGAAGAGCCAGACAATGAAATTGTGTTGCTACCAAGGCAGAAATGTAAGACAGCTACATACTTCGTCATTCTGGATTCACTGATTACAGAATTGGTGAAAAGAAAAGAAATCTACCAGAATCTCAATGACAAGTTTGGATTTCTGTTCAAAATTACTACTATGCCAGATGCAGAATTGAGAGAAGCTGCATTAAAGTTGCAACAACACCTTTCAGCAGATGTTCAGGACACATTTGTTGAAGAAACAGTTCATTTCTCTGGGTATATGAATCAGATTAAAGCGCCACCGGAAAAATGTGCGCCCTCAGCTGCTTTGAAACATTTAAGAAATGCAGGTATCTCAGAAACCTTCCCTAATGTTGACATAGTGTATCGCCTTTACCTAACACTTCCAGCTACTAACTGTGAAGGAGAACGTTCATTTTCTGTTTTGAAAAGAGTGAAAAACCAGCTCCGTTCAACAATGAGCCAAGACAAATTATGTAACCTAGCCTTGTTGACCATTGAGTCTGATCTAACAAGAAATATTGATTTTCAGAATATAATTGATGATTTTGCCAATATGAAATCCAGAAAAAAGTTTATTTAAGAAGTGCCTGTGAATATAAACAATTCTTTACTTTCTTGAGTTTATATGATTTGATAGTCTTATGCATGATGCAATGATAACAATAATGATCAGTGATTTATAAAGGGAATAATAGTGCTGTAGTGGTTATGCTGAATATAATAGGTACATGATGTCACTACTTTAATAGCCTAATCTAGTAATACTATGCTGTCTTGAGTTTATTCTCTTTAAAATGCATGATTTAACAAGATAGTTATAATGGCTGTTGGTAAATGGTTTTGGTTGTCTTGATGTACTTTCCCTATTAAATTTAATCTAAATAGCCAGAATGTATTTAATTAGACCTTAAACAGGCTCACACCGACCCTTTCCCCCCCTCATGCTGGAAGGGGTCGCTTCGCTTACCTGTAACTCAAAGGGGCCCCGCCAATCTGAATAGCCTAGGGCCCGGAGACTTCTTAATCCGGCCCTGCTTGTGCCTCCTCCCATGGGAGACTTAGGTCTCAGACACTCCCTAAAGAGGGAGTCAAGGCCGGGCCACCACTTGGAAAAGGCCCGGGCCGGGAGAATACCGGCTAATCTTTAATAATTATAATCTCAACGTCGTTTCGTTATAAAGTTAATGAGAAAAAGAAATCAGTTCCCGGTCAGTGAAGACATCCTTTGGGATCGTATTTGCTTAGATATCCTCCTCTTTTCTGCAACTTTGCAAGCTCCTGATGTGTTGATTGCAACACGAAAGGCCTAGAGCTATCATTCTATCCTACCCATCGTTGTTTTGCATCCTTTATCGCTTGGTTTGCGATATTTGCATTATATATATAATATATATATATATATATATATATATATATATATATATATATATATATATATATATATATATATATATATATATATATATATATATATATATACAAGTTAAAATACAGGGCCAAGAGCTAAGAATCGATTTCTATACAAATGAATTTTTGAAGGGAAGATTTCCAGGTGTGGGTCATCATACGTCTAAGACCCGGATCAGGAAACACTCGTCCAGTTCCCTGACCAATCTTACCTAATAATCTAACCTGAGACTCGACCACAGTAACCACATATAAGTGAATACACCCTGACTGGTGGTTGGTAGACCGTCATGAAACATGTATTCTGACCTACTAAACTATTAATCTGTGTTAACCGAAGTGGCCTCGTGCATACGTAACTTTCCCGTCGTAAGTAAACAGTCTGTGTGGCTTTAATGAGGTAGCTGAGACACCACAGCAAGTGTCAGGGGCCCAAGACTGTTCAACTGCCTCCCACCATACATAAGGGGGATTACCAATAGACCCCTGGCTGTCTTCAAGAAGGCACTGGACAGGCACCTAGTCAGTACCTGACCAACGAGACTGTAGTTCGTACGTTTATTTACGTGCAGCCAGCAGTGACAGCATGGTTGATCAGACCCTGATCCACTACGAGGCCTGATCACGGACCTGGCCACGGGAACATTGACTCCCGAACCCCCTCCAGGTATAATTAAGTATATTTAGGTACAGGCACACGTAAACATAGTTGCACAGATTATCATACATAGTGTTAGCTGACACATTTCGCCAAGCCACCCAGTAGTAACAGCAGTAACAGCCTGGTTGATCAGGCTTTGATCCACCGGGAGGCCTGGTCATGGACCGGGCCGCGGGGGCGTTGATCCCCGGAATAACCTCCAGGTAACCTCCAGGTAACCCATCGTGGAGCTGAATATGCCACCCACTACCTGGCTTGTGGCCATGCATCTAGATCCTCTCCCAGGGTTTAACCCAGGTTCTTTGTGATTCAAAGTCACTGCCACAGAGCCATCCTCCCTCCCCCGGGCGGATGGGATACCACCCTGAAGGTGATTTAGTCAGGTCAACAATGAGATGATAAACATTGACAGAGGTCGAGATGAGAGTCATTTACAGAGGTTGACCCTCGAGATGAGAGTCATTTACAAAGGTCGACCCTCGAGATGAGAGTCATTTACAAAGGTCGACCCTCGAGATGAGTCATTTACAGAGGTCGACCCTCGAGACGAGTCATTTACAGAGGCCGACCCTCGAGACGAGTTATTTACAAAGGTCAAGACGAGAGTCATTTACAGAGGTCGACCTTCAGATAAAACACATTTAAAACACATTTCAAAGACTAATCCCGAAACTTAGGAAAAAACACCACGAAGACTTTTAAAAAGTTACAAAGCAATTAATGCATAATTAAGAAACCCGGATTAAGTCTGCATTACGTAAAAAGTTTTTTTTTCGAAAGGCGCCTCGATGCAGGTAAAGAGCTCCTGATGCAAGTAATTTAAGTGTTCTTCCCTCCTGGATCAAATTTAATGGCCTTCCATTTTCCTAGCATAATTATGCTTACATATATATAATATATATATAATACATACATAATATATATATATATATATATATATATATATATATATATATATATATATATATATATATATATATATATATATATATATATATATATATATATATATATATATATATATATATATATCATTCACACTCACTGTCTTTGCAGAGGGGCACAGATGCGACAGTTTAGATGTCACTATAAGTCTCTAAACACCAAATATCCCCGACCTTTCCTTTTTAAAGTGCAGACATTGTGCATCCCACCTCCAGGACTCAAGTCCGGCCAACCGGTCTCCTTGAATTCCTCCACAAAATATTACCCTCCGATAATAGACAAGAATAGACAAATGTAGATGTGGAAAATTGTATTTATGTGAATGTAACTCATTATGTAAATAACAGTAAATGAACAAAGATAATTATTATTTATCAGTTAGACAAGTAGGAATTCGGGACACCTAGGTCGCAAAAAATGTCCCCCTTCGATACCTACCACTGTCATATCCACAAGTTGCTCTGGACCTATTAATTAAATGAAATATACATCACCAGGAATGCTGGTAAATATATAAATTTGTGGACTGTATATTAAATTAAAAAATGATTATATATAAATACACATTTATATAACAGAAGGAGAATATCTTAAAATCACTCACCAATTTGACTGGAGATCAAGTTGTATCATACTCAGAAAACCTCACTAAATTTATGAAAATACTGGCCAGAATTATAACATAAATCTAAATAGCTTGTCTGAGGTTCCTGGAGTTGTCTTGTCCAGTCGTCTGATATCTCAAGTTATGCAGGAATGCACATCTAACAATTTCGCCTCCTATTTGAGAGGTGTCAGCCCAATTTTTACCTCTAGAGCACGAAAAATTCTTCCCATTATTAATGTCTATTACTTAATTCAAAAACAAACAATAGTGACTGTCCTTCTGCGCAAGCGCAGCTTCCCGTTTTCGACTACATAAATTTTAAATACAGTGTGGCCATCTATTTACATATAACTACTGTATTTCTGGAAAATATATACAGTATTTTCCACAGTAGACAAGAATAGAGTAATGATAGTAAATGACAAGTGGGACATTGTTAATGGTCAGTAAAACACAGCAAAACAAGTATAAAACAGATAAAACTTGTGTAAAACATAGGTATGATACGTGTGAATTACGAGAAAAACACAGGCAGAAAAAAATATGGGTGCAAGACAGGTGATAGAGTCAGGTAGGAGGAAGGTAAGAGTGACGGGAGTAACCCAGGGGTGGCACCTGCCCCCCTCATCACTCCTCTCACCTGCGCGGTAAGTTCACCTGTGAGGGGCCTTGTCTTAGGGACTATTTGAAGCGTCGCAGGTGACTTCTTGGAGTAGTGGTCGCCCGTAGCGCAGGTAAACCTGAGATTCACGTAGCTACCTGTAGTTGTGGTGGTGGTAGTAGCAGTGGTGGTGGTAGTAGCAGTGGTCGTGGCAGTAACAGAGGTCGTGGTAGTAGCAGTGGTCGTGGTAGTAACAGAGGTCGTGGTAGTAGCAGTGGTCGTGGTAGTAACAGAGGTCGTGGTAGTAGCAGTGGTCGTGGTAGTAACAGAGGTCGTGGTAGTAGCAGTGGTCGTGGTAGTAGCAGGGTGGTCGTGGTAGCAGTGGTTGTCGTAGTAGCAGGGTGGTCGTGGTAGCAGTGGTCGTCGTAGTAGCAGTGGTCGTCGTAGTAGCAGTGGTCGTGGTAGTAGCAGTGGTCGTCGTAGTAGCAGTGGCCGTCGTAGTAGCAGAGGTCGTGGTAGTAGCAGTGGTCGTCGTAGTAGAAGAGGTCGTCGTAGTAGCAATGGTCGTTGTAGTAGCAGTGATCGTCGTAGTAGCAGTGGTCGTGGTAGTAGCAGGGTGGTCGTGGTAACAGTGGTTGTCGACGTAGCAGTGGTCGTGGTTGTAGCAGTAGTGGTAACACCGGTGGTGGTGGTGGTCGTAGTAACAGTTGTGGTGAAAGTCGTGGTAGTAGCTGGTATTAGCGATCGCCGTGGTGGTAGTAGGTAGTAGTAGTAAGTTTATTCAGGTATACACAAATACAGTTACATAGAATTATCATACATAGCAGCATATGTGTAGAGAACCTGGGATAACCCAAAAAAGTCAGACAGAGTGACTTATTTCCATTGTGGTCCTTTTGTAGTTGTAGCAGTAATGATAACAGTAATAATGATAACAGTATTCGTTATGGCAGTAGCAATAGAAGTAGCAACAACAATAATAATAATAAGTAAATAACCGAATAAATCACAGGTGCCATCAATGGCAATTTATTCTGTTTTCTGAAAAATCTCGCCAGAAAATTTGTAGCAGCAAATGGAGATCGTTGCATCAGTGGCGGTGTTGATGCTGGTGTCTCCACTCTCTGCAACACGCTGGCAATTTCTCCAGGAAAACCCTCTTACTCCTATCCACGGCGATGATACAGGCTCCTATCCCTATCAGGGTGAGCTGAGGGAAAGTCCAGGGACTCCTGCCGGCGGTGCATCCTACGGTAACCACGTCAATCCTGGGCAGGATGTTCCTTTGGATGAGAGCTACGGTAAGGATGCCAGATGGGCATCCCTTTACCCCGGGGGACAACAGGGGAATCGGTCCAGGTTTAGGGGTACTCCGTTTGCTTCAGAGGTTCCCCCGGGGCCTTTGGATAGGAGTGCAGCTTTTCGAAGCCTTTGGAATGTCCAGCGTGAGAGATCGTCGCTTCCAGTAGCACCAAAGGCGATGTTGGAGGAGGAAGAGACGTCATTCGTGAGGGAGATGTTGGAGGCTGTGTTGGAGAGGGAGATGAAGGGATGCGACCTGGTTTTGATCCACGATGGAGGCAACACTCACCAGCTACTCCACCATCTGCTGCACCTTCTACCCCACCTACGACAGGTAGGCAGAGATACAGGAACAAGAACGAGGGGTTGAATAGAGTGATATTGGTTCATGTGTTTTTAAACTACATCTTTCTCCACCTCTCCAACACAAGGCGCTGTATAGTCCTTGTGGCTTAGCGCTTCTTTTTGATTATAATAATAATCCAACACAAGGTGGTGGAAATACGGAGGCCAGAAGACCTGATGGGCGTGTTGTGGTCACCGACCTCCTCGTGTGAGGGCGTGGGCGGCTACATCTTCCTCCTCCACAGCTCACAGCCTCTCCTCACATTCCTCAACACAGACGATAACAGCTGGGACTACTACGGAAGGTTAGCAAGAAACCTCACCAGTCACTGGGCTTGTAACCTTAATGTAACCATATTGTTGGGTTGCAGGTGATCTGTTGTGACGGTTCTAATACCGTTACAACCCTTCAACCCGACAGTAAAGTGGCGGTTCTAGTGCCGTTACACAACCCTTCAACCCAACAATAACAAATGACGGTTCTAGTGCCGTTACACAACCTTCAACCCAACAATAACAAATGACGGTTCTAGTGCCGTTACACAACCTTCAACCCAACAATAACAAATAAGTAAGTAAGTAAGTAAGTTTATCCAGGTATACACAAATACAGTTACATAGAATTATCATACATAGCAGCATATGTGTAGAGAACCTAGGATAACCCAAAAAAGTCAGAGTGACTTATTTCCATTGGGGTCCTTTACTTATTTCCATTGACGGTTCTAGTGCCGTTACACAACCTTCAACCCAACAATAACAAATGACGGTTCTAGTGCCGTTACACAACCCTTCAACCCAACAACAAGTGACGGTTCTAGTGCCATTACACAACCCTTCAGCCCAGCAATAACAAGTGACGGTTCTAGTGCCGTTACACAACCCTTCAGCCCAGCAATAACAAGTGACGGTTCTAGTGCCGTTACACAACCCTTCAACCCAACAATAACAAGTGACGGTTCTAGTGCCGTTACACAACCCTTCAACCCAACAATAACAAGTGACGGTTCTAGTGCCGTTACACAACCCCTCAACCCAGCAATAACAATTCTGGCATAATCACTTAAAGCTTTCGGCTGAGAAAGGCTCTTGATCCAAGGAATTGCAAATGTCCTCCAATTCCTTGGATCAAATTTATTAACCATTCCCCAGGCGTTGTATAACCCCCTACAACCTTAGCGTATTTCTCGAATAATAATAATAAATAATAATAATAATAATAATAATAATAATAATAATAATAATAAATACTAATACTAATAATAATGATATAAATCATAATCCAGAACAATAACAACAACTACAGTAATACAACAACACTGTATATAAATATGACTAAATAACCATTGGGAGATAAATGTAAATCACAAGAATAAATAAAAAAATTAAGTTCAACAGCAATTTACACACTTAAAAAAAATTAATTTCAGATACTTCATGATTGGCTTGCAACTGGGAGAGCTGGAGGCTGTGAGCGAGTCTCGGAAGGGCAGGAAGACTGAGCACCTTGCTGGGGTAGTTAAGGTAAGCTTTATTACCGTGACTGAGTTCATTGATGCAGCTAAAGTCTTCTACCAGAGTGACTTACGAATGACTGTAAATGTTATGCTGAGTATCAAGGCAAAAAGAGAACCAATTTGCATTCAATCTGGCTAAACCAGTGACTTACACTGTGATATAGTGTGTACCAGGCAACCGGGAACTGTGATCCGCCCAGCTATTACCTCAGTTAACAGATATCTTTTCCTTACAGTCGAGTGTAGAGGGAGAGTGGGAGGTGTACATGAACCAGATATACTGTGGGAGTGGAATCAAGCGCCTCGCTATCTGGAGAAGACACAGGTTCACATCCCAGGTAGAGATCTACCCAGACAAAATCTCCAACCTGCGAGGCTCCACGCTCAAGGTAAGAACATTTACATCGAAGGTAAATAAAGACGTGAGAGTGGAGTAGCACTGCGGGAGGTCTACTGGCTCATGCTAGGTAGCTCCTTCTCTACACCAATCTCTCTCCCTCATATATTTGATGAGTTAAATGTATTATAATTTGAGATAAGTGAAACAGATTTGCGATACCAGTTACTTGATAATGTGGGTTCTGTCCCTGACTCACCAAGGGTCGAGCCACCTGACCGACCAGGTGTGTCTATGTTGTCAGGTGGTGACGTTCGTCTGGGAGCCCAGTATCTTCTATCAGCGGGGCGCTGACGGAGAGGTGACCCACCGCTACGGTATCGACATCCTGGTGATCGAGGCGCTGGCCAGTGCTATGAACTTCACAGTGGAGTACCAGGAGCCTCCCAATGGTAGCATACACACACACATATACACTCTCTCACACATATATACACACACACACATACAAAATATCACACACACACACGCGTCGGTCTGGAATTTTATGACTCTCTGATCGCGGGTTCTATCCCCACCCACGGTATGGTTAACACACATATACACACGCTTAAAGAGCAGATATCATAAGGTCCAAGAAGTCGGTGATGCTAAAGTGGTCTGTGACATAGGGCCAGGAGCTAAGTCTCGAACTCCGCATATACAACTCAATGAATATAAACAAACACGCAGACACAGGAATAAATTATTTTTTATCCAGGTTAGTACAGGTTATACACAGGATTTCTGTTATTATTATTATTATTATTATTAAATATTTTTATTATCACAGGTGAAATGTGGGGTACAGCGACAGGAAATGGCACATATACTGGCCTACGGGGGAGGCTGTACCGAGGAGAGGCTGACATAGGCGTAGCTAACATGTACTTTACCCTAAACCAGCAAGTTGGTATCCAGTTCTCCGCTCGCTACGATACCGAGGTACCACACACACAATAAGAGTATATATGCTTCTCTATACAACATATGTGAATACGTCAATAAGTTCGTCAGACGTGGATATATCCTGGTATTTATTGTTTTGCTTTCCAGTTTAACTGTTTCCTGGTCCGGTCTGAGCCTCCACTGCCTCTCTGGCAGGCTTTATCGTTCCCTTTTAGTCGATGGATGTGGTTGGCTGTGTTCCTGTGTCTGCTAGCATCAGGACCTGTCCTCTATCTTGTAGCTCGTGGCACCGCTGCCTGGTACGTCAGTTGAGAGTTGAGAGCGAGAGAGAGAGGAGGTGCTGTTGAATTATACACAACTTTACTATGCACACTTTGAGAGTCCGTGTTTCGATCTCCGGTACGGGTGGAAATATTGGGCGTGTTTCCTTAAGACACCTACTGTCCCTGATTACTTAGCATCAAGTATGTACCTGGGTGTTAGTCGACTGGTGTGGGTCGCATCCTGGGGGGACAATATTAACCTATGTTGCCCGAAATGTTGAACATAACAAGGGGCTTTCTATACAGTATGTCACTGATGCCAGCTATGGTCTGTATAAGTTATATCATGTACTTGTAGAAATAAAGATTATTATTATTATTATTATTATTATTATTATTATTATTATTGCATGAGGTCTATACGAAGGCTCGTTTACAGCGGCGAGGACATTCCGGAGCTTCGAACCCTGTCCTCCGGCTTCACTTACTCGTTCGCTACGCTCTTGGGCAAGTCGGCCGTCCGCGACCCCAAGCCGGTCTCCGCCCATCTCCTGGTCCTCTCCCTCTGGCTCTACGGAATGATCGTCACCATCGCCTACTCCACAAACCTCACTGCTTTCCTGCTCGTCAGCAGGAGACCCTACTCCATGGAGACCTTCAAGGAGCTCCATGACTCTGGTCTTCGAGTATTTGGTCTTGGTGACCTGTTCAAACAGGAACTTGCTTCGGCCAGCGATATTTACCTCAAGGTAATAATAATAATAACACTTTGGTCCGTTCTGGTCCAAGTCATAATCCTTAATGCTGGTCCAGGACGGACCGTAACGCTTAACGTTTTCTATCTAATTATTGCAGCTATCATTATTATTATTAGTTTTGTGAAGCATTAAACACGTATGGGTCATTTAGAGCAATACGGGATGAAGGTTCAGTCCCCAATCCGCTCAAACAACCAGACCATCCACCTATCCTCCCCTATTTTCCCACCCTCAGGAGCTCTCCAGGACCTACGAAGGGTACAGCTCCCCAGGGCAGATCTTCCCCAAGGTGCTGGAAGGCCAGGGCGCCCTGCTGGAAAACCACGGCTTCCTGGAGTTCACAGCTGCCACTAGATTCGCTTCCAGGGGACAGTCTCGTGTTCGAATCATGAAGGTCTCTTCTTCTTCTAATTCTACTTATTCAATATATATATATATATATATATATATATATATATATTATATATATATATATATATATATATATATATATATATATATATTATATAATAAAACCTTTGTAGTTTTTGTATTTTTGTGACAACAGAAGAATGACTCTGCGGATAGGCTTCAAACTTTCAACTCTTCTATGTATGTGTGAAACGAAGCTTTTGATTTCGGTAGTACCCATAAAACTATAGTTTCACGATGAAGGTCACAGGAGGGGCAAAACGCGCTAACCCGCTACATCCAAATGCTATTTGCTCCGCTGTTTTGCCCAGTTATAGAAACACGTTTAAACCATTACTCTATATAGGTCAGGTCAGGTCAGGTCAGGTTTGTCAGGATACAGGACAAGTGTTTCCTGACTCGGGTCTTAGATGATGACCCACAGCTGGAGCTTCTGGTCATCTGACCGAGGCCTTCCACTGGCTTACCCTCCACCACTTTAACAATTAGGGTTGTAAGTTGATGTATAGGTGCACTTCCCAAAGTACACTTCCCAAAGTACACTTCCCTAAGTACACTTCCCTAAGTACACCTCCCTAAGTACACCTCCCTAAGTACACCTCCCTAAGTACACCTCCCTAAGTACACCTCCCTAAGTACACCTCCCTAAGTACACCTCCCTAAGTACACCTCCCTAAGTACACCTCCCTAAGTTCAGTTCCCTAAGTACACCTCCCTAAGTACACCTCCCTAAGTACACCTCCCTAAGTACACCTCCCTAAGTACACCTCCCTAAGTACACCTCCCTAAGTACACCTCCACAAGTAACTAAGTACACTCCTTCAGTACACCTCCCTAAGTTCACTTTACCTCAAATAGAGCTTTTGCGATTTCAAATTCTTTGTATTAATTCAATTTTCGAACTGGCAACATAGAAAAGAAACTGGCTGCAGAGCTAACTTTTACCGGCACGTTTCGCTCACTGTAGAGCTTTGGCAAGTTATCTTTGAATCTGTGTAGAGCTTAATCAAGTTATCTTTCACTCTATGTAGAGCTTTATCATGTAATATTCAATTCTACGTAGATCTTATCAACACAGTAAAAAAAAATTCCACATATCGTATCTTGTACAAACACATCTACGATCTTTCAGAGTTTGAAGCCTATCCAAAAGGGTATTATTGCGTTTTGACACCAAATAGAAGAAAAACAGATGTTAACTTATGAAATGACGTTTTTACTTAATTCTGCGTCTGGAGGAGTGTTTCGCCCCTTACAATATCGCCATGGGTCTGCAGACACACTCGCCACTCAAGAGGAGGCTGGATGTGGTCCTGGGCTGGATCCAGCAAGCTGGTCTTGTTCGACGGTTCTTCCTGGACTCGTTGAGATTAGCCAAGACAACGAAGGTGAGTGAGATTAGTTAAGTCAACGGAGGTGAGTGAGATTAGCTAAGTCAACTGAGGTTAGATTAGCCAAGACAACGAAGGTGAGTGAGATTAGTTAAGTCAACGGAGGTGAGTGAGATTAGCTAAGCCAACTGAGGTTAGATTAGCCAAGACAACGAAGGTGAGTGAGATTAGTTAAGTCAACGGAGGTGAGTGAGATTAGCTAAGTCAACTGAGGTTAGATTAGCCAAGACAACGAAGGTGTGTGTAGCTACGTCAACTGAGGTGAGGGGTAGTCAGTGAGGTTGTTAATTACTACTACCACTACTACTACTACTACTACTACTACTACTACTACTACTACTACTACTACTACTACTACTACTACTACTACTACTACACTACTACTACTACTACTACTACTACTACTACTACTACTACTAATAATAATAATAATAATAATAATAATAATAATAATAATCATGGGTTGGGGGCAGGAGTACCGAGGAGCTAGCGTGGGTGAGGGTGGTGAGGACAGGGTGGAAGGGGGCGTCATCCCCCTCAGCTTGAACCACCTCCAAGGAGCCTTCCTGATCGTCCTGATTGGCAGCTTCGTCGCCACCCTCGTCTTCCTCCTGGAGATGTACCTGATGGGCCGAGGCGTTGTCTGATCGGTCTCACATCGGCTGGAACCCACCACTTGATATCTGATTGGCTGCAGAAATGTCTCGTTTTGTTCCTGATTGGATGGATATTCAGATTATTTGTATAAAAAATATCTGTTTTTTTTTATTAGCCAGAGAAATGATCGTCTGATCTCTGTCTGGCTGAAAAAATTGCCTGATTGACCTCACTATGTCTAGAGAAAAAATCTACTTGACTTCTGATTGGCTACAAAATACCTAACTGATCTGTGATTGGCTAGAATAAAAGCAGACTACCCATATTTTTTTAACTATTAATTATGCGATCTGTAAATACCTGTGAATAATAATAATAATAATATAATAATAATAATAATAATAATAATAATAATAATAATAATAATAATAATAATTAATAATAATAATAATAATAGAAACTTAATAAAAATTTAATAAAATAATAATAATAATAAAAAATAATAATAATAATGATAATAAAAATCATGGTACCATATAAATCATGGTACCATATAAGTCATGGTACCATATAAGTCAAGGTACCATATAAGTCAAGGTACCATATAAGTCAAGGTACCATATGAGTCATGGTACCATATAAGTCATGGTACCATATAAGTCACGGTACCATATAAATCATGGCACCATATAAGTCATGGTACCATATAAGTCATGGTACCATATAAGTCATAGTACCATATAAGTCATGGTACCATATAAGTCAAGGTACCATATAAGTCAAGGTACCATATGAATCATGGTACCATATAAGTCAAGGTACAATATGAGTCATGGTACCATGTAAGTCATGGTACCATATAAGTCATGGCACCATATAAATCATGGCACCATATAAGTCATGGTACAATATAAGTCATGGTACCATGAAAGCCATGGTACCATATAAGTCATGGCACCATATAAGTCATAGTACCATATAAATCATGGCACCATATAAGTCATGGTACCACATAAGTCATGGCACCATATAAGTCATGATACCATATAAGTCATGACACCATATAAGTCATGGTACCATATAAGTCATGGCACCATATAAGTCATGGCATCATATAAGTCATGTACCAAAATAAGTCATGGCACCATATAAGCCCTGCACCATATAATCATGGCACCAAAATAAGTCATGGAAACCATATAAGTCATGGCACCATATAAGTCATGGTACCATATAAGTCATGATACCATATAAGTCATGGCACCATGTAAGTCATGGCACCATATAAGTCATGGCACCATATGTCATGGTACCACATAAGTCATGGTACCATATAAGTCATGGCACCATATAAGTCATGGCACCATATAAGTCATGGCACCATATAAGTCATGGCACCATATAAGTCATGGTACCATATAAGTCATGGCACCATATAAGTCATGGTGCCATATAAGTCATGGCACCATATAAGTCATGGCACCATATAAGTCATGGCACCATATAAGTCATGGCACCATATAAGTCATGGCACCATATAAGTCATGGCACCATATAAGTCATGGCACCATGTAAGTCATGGCACCATATAAGTCATGGCACCATATAAGTCATAGCACCATATAAGTCATAGCACCATATAAGTCAAGGTACTATATGAGTCATGGTACCATATAAGTCATGGTACCATATAAGGTACTACATAAGTCAAGGTACCATATGAGTCATGGTACCATATAAGTCATGGTACCATATAAGTCATGGCACCATATAAGTCATGGTACCATATAAGTCATAGCACCATATAAGTCATGGCACCATATAAGTCATGGCACCATATAAGTCATGGTACCATATAAGTCATGGCACCATATAAGTCATGGCACCATATAAGTCATGGCACCATATAAGTCATGGTACCTATTTAGTCTTTGGCACCAATAAGTCATGGTACCATATAAGTCATGATACCATATAAGTCAATGGAAAACCATGTAAGTCATGGCACCATATAAGTCATGGCACCATATGTCATGGTACCACATAAGTCATGGTACCATATAAGTCATGGCACCATATAAGTCATGGCACCATATAAGTCATGGCACCATATAAGTCATGGCACCATATAAGTCATGGTACCATATAAGTCATGGCACCATATAAGTCATGGTGCCATATAAGTCATGGCACCATATAAGTCATGGCACCATATAAGTCATGGCACCATATAAGTCATGGCACCATATAAGTCATGGCACCATATAAGTCATGGCACCATATAAGTCATGGCACCATGTAAGTCATGGCACCATATAAGTCATGGCACCATATAAGTCATGGCACCATATAAGTCATGGCACCATATAAGTCATGCCACCATATAAGTCTTGCACCATGTAAGTCATGGCACCATAAAAGTCATGGTACCATATAAGTCATGGCATGGCATGAAGTTCAACGATGAGAAATTTCAATTACTCAGATATGGTAAACACGAGGAAATTAAATCTTCATCAGAGTACAAAACAAATTCTAGTCACAAAATAGAGCGAAACACCAACGTCAAAGACCTGGGATTGATCATGTCGGAGGATCTCACTTTCAAGGACCATAACATTGTATCGATCGCATCTGCTAGAAAAATGACAGGATGGATAATGAGAACCTTCAAAACGAGGGATGCCAAACCCATGATGACACTCTTCAGGTCACTTGTTCTGTCTAGGCTGGAATATTGCTGCACACTAACAGCACCTTTCAAGGCAGGTGAAATTAGCTGACCTAGAAAATGTACAGAAAACCCTTTCACGGCGCGCATAACGGAGATAAAACACCTCAATTACTGGGAGCGCTTTGAGGTTTCTGAACCTGTATTCCCTGGAACGCAGGGGGGAAAGAGATACATGATTATATACACCGGGAAAAATCCTAGAGGGACTAGTACCGAACTTGCACACGAAAATCACTCACTACGAAAGTAAAAAGACTTGGCAGACGATGCACCATACCCCCAATGAAAAGCAGGGGTGTCACTAGCACGTTAAGAGACCATACAATAAGTGTCAGGGGCCCGAGACTGTTCAACTGCCTCCCAGCATACATAAGGGGGATTACCAACAGACCCCTGGCAGTCTTCAAGCTGGCACTGGACAAGCACCTAAAGTCGGTTCCTGACCAGCCGGGCTGTGGCTCGTACGTTGGTTTGCGTGCAGCCAGCAGTAACAGCCTGGTTGATCAGGCTCTGATCCACCAGGAGGCCTGGTCACAGACCAGGCCGCGGGGGCGTTGACCCCCGGAACTCTCTCCAGGTAAACTCCAAGTAATATAAGTCATGGCACCATATAAGTCATGGTACCATGTAAGTCATGGCACCATATAAGTCATGGTACCATATAAGTCATGGTACCATGTAAGTCATGGCACCATATAAGTCATGGTACCATATAAGTCATGGCACCATATAAGTCATGGCACCATATAAGTCATGGCACCAAAAAAGTCCCTCGTAAACCCTATAATCATGGCACCATATAAGTCATGGCACCATATAAGTCATGGCACCATATAAGTCATCATACCATATAAGTCATGGCACCATATAAGTCATGGCACCATATAAGTCATGGCACCATATAAGTCATGGTACCATGTAAGTCATGGCACCATATAAGTCATGGTACCATATAAGTCATGGTACCATGTAAGTCATGGCACCATATAAGTCATGGTACCATATAAATCCCTTGGGCACCATATAAGTCAAAGGCAACCAATAAATCATGGCACCATATAAGTTTATCGTACCATATAAGTCATGGCACCATATAAGTCATGGCACCATATAAGTCATGGCACCATATAAGTCATGGCACCATATAAGTCATCGTACCATATAAGTCATGGCACCATATAAGTCATGGCACCATATAAGTCAAAGGCACCCCTATAAGTCATGGCACCATATAAGTCATGGTACCATATAAGTCATGGCACCATGTAAGTCATGGCACCATATAAGTCATGGTACCATATAAGTCATGGCACCATATAAGTCTGGTAAACCATAAAGTCAAAGGTACCAAAATAAGTCATGGCACCATATAAGTCATCGTACCATATAAGTCATGGCACCATATAAGTCATGGTACCATATAAGTCATGGCACCATATAAGTCATGGTACCATATAAGTCATGGCACCAATAAGACAATGGCCAAACCCTATAAGTCATGGCACCATATAAGTCATGGTACCATGTAAGTCATGGTACCATATAAGTCATGGCACCATATAAGTCATGGCACCATATAAGTCATGGCAACCATATAAAATCATGGACCATATAAAAATCATGGTACCATATAAGTCATGGCACCATATAAGTCATGGCACCATATAAGTCATGGCACCATATAAGTCATGGCACCATATAAGTCATGGCACCATATAAGTCATGGCACCATATAAGTCATGGTACCATATAAGCATGGCACCATAATAAATCATGGCACCATATAAGTCATGGCACCATATAAGTCATGGTACCAAAGTAATCATGGCCACCATATAATCATTGGGGACCATAAAGTCATTGTACCATATAAGTCATGGTACCATATAAGTCATGGCACCATATAAGTCATCGTACCATATAAGTCATGGCACCATATAAGTCATGGTACCATATAAGTCATGGCACCATATAAGTCATGGCACCATATAAGTCATGGCACCATATAAGTCATGGTACCATATAAGTCATGGCACCATATAAGTCATGACACCATATTTAATCATGGCAAACCCAAAAAAGTCATGGCACCATATAAGTCATGGCAACCATAAAAGTCATGACACCATATAAGTCATGGCACCATATAAGTCATGGCAACCCATATAAGTTTATGGGACCTATAAGTCATGGCACCATATAAGTCATGGCACCATATAAGTCATGGTACCAAAATTTAAATCATGGCACCATATAAGTCATAGGCACCATAAAAAGTCATGGCACCAAAAAAGTCATGGTACCATAATAAGTTCATGGCACCATGTAAGTCATGGCACCATATAAGTCATTTGGGCATATAAGTCATGGTACCATATAATCATGGCACCATATAAGTCATTGCACCATATAAATCATGGTCACCATATAAGTCATTTGGGACCATATAAAGTCATGGCACCCAATATAAGTCCATGGTACCA